TCGAATTACAGCTCTTGTGGTGTCTCAAATCGACCGACAGGACACTTTTATGTGCAAAAATAAGAAGTCCAGAAATCCCTTGTGAATTGTACCAGTACTAAGGATGCGTGCCATCATCGGAGACCTTAAGCCTAATTCGTTCGGATCGAATTTTTGTGTTTGTATGAATTATATAATATCGTTTTAGCCGGTTGAAAGTGATCTCTTGATAGCTTGACAGCAAACACACCCACAAATCCATACACTCTCAAGCCTCAAAGATTGTATGTTTGCTCTTTAAGTTATCAGTTTCCAGTTCGAAAACGAGTATTTTTAGGAGATTTTTAGTCAAGATATTTCCTTGGGGGACCAGTACTTTGATAAAATCAAAAGCAAAACGATCGCCATTAGACTCTGGGGTGTTATTTAAAGTCGGACGTACGCATGTAGGCCTACATGCAAGTATCTATACGTTTATCATTAATTCTAGATATCCAGGTGGTTTTGGTGAAAATCTGCACGCACTAGAATAAATTATTGGTAGGTCTCTCGCCATTAGCGTCCTCGGCCTAAATATCGACGAAGTTTGGACATGTTCCCCGTGCACCAAACTTACCCGCCCCCCTCTCCCGCGCCCAGGAGTCATTTGAAATATTGAAGGAGGCGATGTTTTATATAAGAAGGCAATCGTACATTCTGAGGTGGCAATTTTAGTTTGGCATGAATTTGTTGATTCGAAAGCAGATCTCGTGTTAAACAAGCATGCAACACCGATTTCGGGACGCAATTGATTCCATGATTCAGTTTTTTCGATATTGCTGAAAAATTGTCATGTTTCTGTGTCCCGGTTTTGTTTAGCAATCAAAAGCACTTACGTGAAACTCAACAACATTTGGAAATAAATGTGAGAATCACTTCCTATACTGCTCTGCCAAGACAGTGCGTTAACAAATATGATACAACGGCAAATCACTACAACATCGGTGATTCCAAAGGCAGCAGTTGAAAAATAAACAATAAGGTTCTATAATGCGATGTCTTCATTTACTTTGAGCTGACATGACCGACAATGCCACTGAACAGTATGATCTGTCCCATATCCGATGCGGATATGTACAGTGCAGGGGTAATGGTGACGATGCACTTCACGATCACAAGTAATTCCCCACTAAGCACTTCACCATCTCGTTATGAATACGTTAATATTATAACTGTCCTGTCGCATCCAAGCCGCAATCGCACGCGCTTTCTGTGAGAACTAGAAATGCCGACTGACATTACCTAACTTTCGTGGGCCGATGTGGTCCAATGGTTACGGTGTTTGACTCATGTGCCGTGGTCAGGTGCGGATCCAGAGGGGGGTTTGGGGGGTCAACCCCCCCCCCCCCTCCCCCGCTCTGTCAAAAAAAAATTGTTTTCCATACAAATTCCTAAAATATAAGTCGAAACCCCCCCCCCCCCTGCTGTGACACCCCAAAAAAAATTATACTGGTGTAATGTCTGCCTGTTCAAAATACGGTACACCATTCTGTAATCTAGTGCTACTAATCGTCGAATTTGAACATCGCCCCCTATTGAAATATGGTACCAGTCCCTACCCCCCCCCCCCACCCCACCCACCCCCCAGTTTTTGACTTTGCGGAGGCCAAGTGTCCGGAGAAAAAAAACCTGTGTACATTATCTGATCCCCCCCCCCCCCCCACTGCTTAAGTCCCTCACTCCATGACCGCCACCTGTGAATTAGACTTTCTTAAATCTTTTTCTCTAACTGACTGTCACTTGTGAATTAGACTTGCTTAAGTCTCTCACTCCATGACCGTCACCTGTGAATTAGACTTTCTTAAATCTTTTTCTCTAACTGACTGTCACTTGTGAATTACACTTGCTTAAGTCTCTAGCTACCTATCTTTTAAACTGGTAACCTATGTCACTCACTGACTGCCACCTGTGATTAAGACTTGGTTAAGTCTCTGACTGAATGACCGTCACTTGTGATTTAGACTTTCGGAAGTCCTTCACTCACTGACTGTCACTTGTGAATTAGAATTGCTTAAGTCTCTGGTTACCAATCTTAAGATTGGCAACCTATCTCACTCACTGACTGTAACCTATGAATTAGACTTGCTTAAGTCTCTCACTGAATGACCGTCACATGTGAATTAGACTCTCTCAAGTCTTTCACTCACTGACTGTCGATTGTCAATTAGACTTGCTTAAGTCTCTGACTGACTGTCACTGTGACTGGTTGTACCTAAAGTGACTGCCACCCTTTAAATAACACCAGTCTCATCTCACTGACCATCACTCGTGACTTAGACTACTTACCTATCACTTGTGGATTAAACATGTACACTTCCGTGACAACCACGTGTAGGCGATAAATCGTTTTCAAGCGAAAGTAGACGTTTCATTTCAATCGTGCTACAACTTATTCTACAAACTTTTTAGCCACTCTGGTTCATTGAATACACTTTGTAACGCTCTTCGAAGAACTTTATTAGGCTTGCCTAGTTTTGTTTTTCATGGTTCTAGATATTGCTTCAGTTTAAAAACAAAACATCGCCGGTAACTGGCCCAAAGGTGTTCCGTTTATCCGTCGAGACCATAAGAAAATCACAGGATTCGTGTCAAACATTTGTGATCTCCGAATCGGGCAATTGGCAGCTTTTATGATTTTTCACGAATTACTGCCTCTTCATCAGAAATATTTAACTATATTCTATAACAAGTCTGCGTTCGTGTTTTTTTTAATGGAGTTTACAAAGAGCGACCTTTTGATTTTGTACACCACTCGAAGGTGTATGTAATGTTTCCGCCGCCGCCTTCATCCCCGATCAAAATCACCGTGCTCGTATAAAGTTACACCTAAGGTTATGCCATTAATATTTTACCTGCATGACACCAGATGGAGTTCCTGTATTCTTATCTCTCCGAGACGCACTCTCCGGCCGGTTTCCCCTACTCTCGCTCGCTCTCCAACTCGTCTAGGATTTTCAAGGACACTGCGGACGCAAAGACGTGGGCGCCACTCCTTCAATGGATCGTCTTCACGGAAGGCCGACCGAGGACAGGTGTTAATTAGCAGACGACTGTTCCATGAGACAAAAAGGAGAGAAAGCAGTGATTAATATATCTGCCGATTTTATTGTCGGGCCTATACTCTGTAACAAACAGGCTCTTCTGAAACCAACACACTGCTCTAATGATCACACACCACATCTGATGGGCGATGTCCAATAGCAAAATGGCCGCTCAAAAGTGCTTATACCTGTTATTAAAGGCAGCCATTTTGGGTATTCAAATGCATAGCATGTACTGAGCAGCACATTGCCCCCAGGGTTTAAATTATACACATTTTAACCAGTAATGACAAATCCTTCAATCTATGTATGAGTTCCTCTACATTAATATCAGAAGAAAAAAACTTCAACCACTACAAAAAAGGTAATCTGCAATTGAAGTACGGCACATTGAGAGATAAGGCAGTGCTGATGTTGTTTATATTAGATACCTTGAAATGTACTAAAATCATTGACAATAACAATAAAATACACTGGTACGGGTTTTCATTCAAAATATATGAAAAAAACATTGTTTATTGCTAATCCGCTGCAAGATTGGATAATCCAAATGCCATACAATTTATAGAACAGTCGTTAGTGAACGCACAGTGGGCTTACACGTTCCATTTTTCTTCCGCGCTGATTTAGAGGTAAGCGGAAACCTTTTTAAGTCTCCATTAAAAGGACATCAAATTTGGCAATGGTAGTATCAGGTGTCCGGAAGAATGATTTCATTCTTTCTTTCTGAAAGAGGTTTAAAGGTAATATGCATCATTTACTTTTGCTGTAATTTTCAGAAATGGATTGATTTGGGGGTTAGCATCTTATAGCAAATATTGTTACACTGACTTGTTTAAAGATCTGTGTGAGAAAAAAAAGGAAAAGGAAAGAAACAATGGTGTTCTTGCAGTCTCGTTCCCTGACCCTACTTCAGACGAAACGGGGCAATTTATAAACGTCGGGGAAATTGTCAGGTCGGTGAAGCAGACTAGCTTGCTTGCAACCGTTCACGGATGTGTGGCCAATTGCAAACAAAATGAGTTCAAACTGAATTTAGTAAATTGGGGGCAGTAGATTCAACGATGGTCATTTTTAAGTTACCAAATTTTAAACACCACCACCGTTTTAAAATGCTGTCCCCGGGTCACAAAAAGGTAAGTGTTCTTTCAGCAAAACGAAAACAAATCACAAAGGGATGTATGTGAATTGTTTTCGTTTTGATGAGAGAACGCACACCTTTCTTGTGTGATCCGTGGACAGAACTTTAAAACAGTGTTTGTGTTCAAAAAAAAATAACTTAAAAAGTACATGAGTGATTTGAATGATTTTTGTACTGAAAGAAAGCTCATTGATCGGGCTTTCATATCCTGGATTTTGAAAGTGCTACAGGCAAAACTTTACTCACAATTGGTCCTGCCATTTGGGTTTCGTTTTTAGGGCTATATTCCCAACGGCTGAAATGAGGGACCAGACAAGGGACCACATTTAGAGTGAAATTCAGTCAATCGAATAGATCGAGTTTTCACTCGAGTTTTCACTGGATAAATTTTTGTTTAGTATTTCAGTCTAAAATTAGTTTACTTTTTACTCTAAATCATCTTTTCCCTAATTCCACTCTTTTGACGCTTTCAAATGTCGCACCCAGACCAGCTGATTTTTCTAATAAGCGCCAAGTGGATATGAATTAAACCAGTAAGCCAAAAGAGAATGAGAAAATCCGGGTACTATCCCCGAGGACAAAAAGAGGGCTGCGCCTTCTGGTCCCATCTGCTGCAGCAACATGACCTCAAATTTAAAATGGGATTGGACAAACTCCTCGAGGATACAATCTCGTTGGAGAGTCTCGCCCATGTCTGCAAAATCATCCGCGGGATACCGCGTCCGACTAATTATTACGTAACTTCGGACTGAAACCACAAATGTTGAGAACAGAGCCCCGGTGTTCCATAAAAAGGGACTGCAGGGCTCTTACAGATCACAAGCTCTAGTGCGAGTTTTGAAACAATATTCGAAAAGGCGTTTATTGGTTTTGCCTACACAGACCTACGTTGGTTATCTCAAGCTCAGATAGTTTATCAATTATCTACTGTAGATAGCACGTGTAGAATGGCAGCCTGCAACCTATCGCGTTTTTCTTTGTTTGTAATCAGCCTTCTCAGCATCTGGACGATCATGGACATTTTTAAAATGAGTAAGTTGAGATATCCTTGTATATTTCATAAACTGATTAACTTTTGTACATTTTATGTCTATTTGTGTTTCGTTTTTGTTGTTAATAGACAAGGGCACGATATATACCGGAAGGCCCGTTATGATTTTACAAAGGAATATCTGTTCTACTTTTATGTAATCTCTAAAGTGTTTGCTGTATAGGCATATTTGTTTAATTAAGTTTCACATGTTAAACCATAACTGATGTAACAACTTCCCACGTTTTCCCCGTACTTTTTAGGTGATGCCGGCGTTTTGGATGATGAAACTGGCTTTCGCTTCGAAATGATGGGTAAGCCAAAACAACCTAAAGATTATTCTAGATCTTTGTTTTCATGAATTACATTACCTTTCCGCTATTTTTACCCAACAGTAATGATACTTCTTAAAATTAATTGAACAATACTGGCTTTAACTAGTTAAAAAAAACAATCTAGAATTTCAGGAGAGTGTGCCGAAATTATTTGATCAGAACTGATTTTGTGTCTCTCACAAAGAAGAAAGATACCACAGAAATTATTTTCAGAATATAACAAATTTTAAAATACTTGAAGGACCATTAAAAATTGTTAATTTTTAAACTTTAGAAGAAAAATGAATCGAAATGTGGGTTGGTGGATCAAAGAAAATAATTGAAAATCGAAATTCACTTTTTAGTGAAAATATTTCGACTCCAGGTTCCACGCGCACGCGTTCCGATTCATTTTTTTTTAACCCTGTCACCATATAGAGACAGGGTAGGTGCGCAACCTTAGAGCACCATGGGGACGAGGTTTTTTTTTTTATTAGGGTAACCAGTAGGGTAGGCCTGCGTAGCAGTGAGCCTTGCGAAAGGAGTGGCATACCGGGTTCACTCGACATGGGCGCCGCGCGCGTCGATTACTATAGTCATTTCCAACATTTCCAACATTTCCAACATCCTATCAAGTGATGAAACACAAAATGTCATCTGCATGGGCACTGGTGCAAGAGGGGCAGACCCACGGCTTCAACACACTGTCACTGAAGTAGGCATCATCGTTTTTGACGAATCTGCCGAAAACCGAGAGTTTATGAAATCTGAGATTTTTGGATATTCTAAAATTTAATTATATCCTGTACGTGATTACCAACTTTCGAGACATGAAATTCCATCGTTCGTAATACGCTAATTACACAAAGTATTGAAAGTGCAACACACTCAGTTTTTCGTTTAGACGAGGTGACGAGTCTCTATAAGTCACGAAGTCTCATTAATTTTACACGTATGCTATATTAAGACTTATGTACCCTCCACGGTACATAAGGGGCCTCGTAGCCGAGCGGTTAGAGCGTGGAGCTACGGAGTGGAAGGTTCCAAAAACCGGAAAACTCTCTCTGACGACCCAACAGTAAAATGGGTACCTGATTCGTTCAGGGAAGGTAAGACGGCGAGAGGAGAGGACTGGGCCCCGCCACTCATATGCCGCGCCCAAGACACAGTGGACCTCTAACATCTCACTGCCCCTACGGCCAGTAATGGCTATGGGATCTTTACCTTTACCTTTTTTTACCCTCCGCGATTTGCAGTTTGCATTGTTCCTCTCAGATGCAGAAAATGGGCTCAAAATCAATATTTATTAATACTTGAACAACTTATGCTACATTTTTGTGACAAAGTACACAATTTCCATTTTGACGAAGTGACGAATATCTTCAGTAATTAATGTCTCCCAATTAAACATGATTCTGTGAACACAGAGAATTGGGTTTTTTTGGCTAATTAACTACTGGATCACGAAATATATATTTTAAATTCTGGGGGAGAAATGTACGAGTAAATATTTCGCCAGGTGTTTTCCGAAATAGACCCCTTGTGCGGTGCGTCCTCTGTGCGGTGCGTCCTTTGTGGAGGAAGTTTTTTTGTTATTTCAATTCAATGACAATGAAACTACAAACTATCTACCGATGCGTATACCATATCGAAACAAAGACCCGTTCTCATATGTGACCTAGCCACCTGTCCTCAGATAGTACTCAATCGGTCAAAATGTTGCCAATGTTCAACTATTCACAGATTACAGTATTACATGTATTTGCAGATCAAGGCAATCTCCAACAAAAGAGAAAAATAGGACTCAGACGGTTCCCCAAGATGGTGCCAGATAATGGAATGTTTCACTTCGTGCTTAAAGGTGAGTCTTTCTCCTGCTACTGTTGTCCACTAGTCACAGGGCAATTTTTGCCTTCGTTAGGCGGGAAAAAAATCTGTAAGCAATTATGGCTGGCCATTCAAAGATCCTTCAAGAAATCTGGAAAAGATTGAATGGGTTGTTCGAAAGAGGTCATGAAATCACAGGTGCGTATGTCCATTCTTGCCCATCTCATAGAATGAATGCATCGTTGTTGATATGTGCTTCTATCTCACAAGAAAGAACTATAACGGAGTTATAAGATTGCCCACGTGTAACATTGTCTTTTTGAACCTTCTGACGGAAACATTAGACATCTTCAGATACATTATACGCAACTTGTTACAAATGCATCAAACATTCGTATTTTAAAGCACCATACTGGTTAAATATGTCTGCAATTTGTCATGCTGTACCTTTCTTTTAAGATATCGCCCAAGAGCTCGTCCATCTTTTAGAGGAGGGAGGATTAAGCCTGAGCAGCACACACAGGGACACCATCCATGACAAAATCGAGAGCATCTACGAGAGGAGCAAAGATCATCCGGCACTGGAAAGCGACCTGATCGCCTACTCGCCAAAAAAACCCGACTACCACCAGTACACCCCTGACTCGGTGCTCAGGACCCGCGCGCAAGAAAGAAGAGTAAGTGTTCAAAACAAATCTTGCACACGATAAAGATCGATACAAGATTTCTTGTGCGAAGATTTCCAATCTTATAAGTGATACTTATTCTTTGCGTACATCGTGGAAGAGGCAGGCATATGACATAAAAAAGCAAAATACGCTGATTTGAACTTGATTTCGAAACAGCCAATCTACGCTATGAACACGAACCTCCTCATAGCCATTCAAATTGAAGGTGTGACGTTGCTGTTTAAGTTTGTTTAAGGCAAACTGTCCGTGAAAATTCCAACGACTAGGCAAAAGGGTACAGAAAACAGAATCAAAATGTTATGGCCACTGTTTTGAAAATTACCGTGTAATTCGAATTGTGGGTCTGAGATATCGAAATCCTCTCCGGTTTGCGAAAAAAAATCGCGGAGTGTTTTTATAAGGACAATATTTTTTTTACAAAAGACCTGCAAATGGGTAAGGAATCCAATCAAGGATTAATGAAATGATCTGATGACAGGCCTATATGCATGATACACACTTCATGGCTCCCCTTGAGAGACTGCCAAAAAGGGGGAACTTAATCACGACATGTAAACTACATGAGGTCTTGCAAGGCTGATGATTCAATGGCTGAAGCTAGCTTAATGCCAATGTGTTTTCTTTTTCTTTTCTCTTTTTAACATATGCAGGAAAAACGAGCCTATCCGGGTGAGATTCACGAGGTGTGCGAGAGCGGGGAAGAATGGGAGCGCTTGCCCACCGCCAACCTGAGGAACCACACGCTGGTCAAGGTTCTCCCTGGACTCCGATTCCACATGAGACAGTGCACCTCGCAGAGTGAGGATTCATCTTGCATTGGCATCAGTCCTGGGTAAGAAAACAAGAACACGTATAGGCTAGGTCCATTGTCATGGTGTACACTGATAGTTTGCGGGTCGGTCATCCAGGTACGATTCTTGTTTTACCTTTGATGTCCCTGGCCCGATTGCCGCCGGGTACAATCTGTGAACAAGGTTTGTCGGTATTCTTCTCTCAAAAATCCCCTATGATTTCCCGTCTATTCCTAAAACTGATTTGGTAGGCCTCGGTTTTCCCCGTTCAAAAGCTAGGTCCTGTTGGGCCACGTCACTGAGGCAACTATCGAACATAAACGGAATAATCAAGTGAGCTGATTGTCATTTGGGAACACAATAAAGCACGAATAATTATGTGGATTGAAATACAATACAGAGAACTGGCATTATCCGCGCGTTCCTTGTGCTCGGTTGGTAAAAGTGCGTAGCACTCATACTGACTTGTGCAAAGTGGAAAGTAGCCTCAAAATCCCAGAGTTTAATCTCATCTTTCTTGATACTACTCTAGATTCTTATTATTTTTCTGTGTATGCGCACCGTCACTCACCCAATACCTTCTTTTGATACGGGACAAGAATGCTTATAGGGATGGCCAGTGAAAACTTGTCCCTCATAGTGTTCAGTGTATTTTGCAAAATTGAAAAGTGTAATCCGCTGACAAAAATGCTCACATTCTGAAAATTATTTCAGAAATAATTTTTAAAAAAAATCTTTTTTGATCTAACGATTTCACAATACTAAAATTTACTAAAATTGTTACTGTTATGAAAAGGTTTCGATAATATTGACCTGTTTCTCCCACAGCTTTGGTGTGACTTCGTGCCAAACTACGGGGACCTGGGTTCGTGCGTTGGTGTGCGGCGGCTGCAACTTCAACACCGACCCCGACTGTAACAACAGGTGTCCCGACGTCCGCGAATTGTACCACTGGGAGTTGGTGTATACACCCACCTGCTGCAAATGTGCTTACTCGTTATTTTAAGTAGTAGAGGGCTACCACTGAACGGATTTAGGTTAGTGCGCCGGCACATAATATTTTGAGGTGCTTTGGGTATGTGTTTTTAAGGCACGCAATTACTGTAAATTCAAAAGGTAGTGTCAGTTTGGCACCTGGAGTTCCTCACGTCTTACGATAAAAGTTGGTCAATGATGTAATTCTTCGCTTTTGTTGCTATTTCTGGTCAGATCACACTCGTCAGAGTGCGTCTGTTATTCTGCCTTCGCACTATTGTCCAATTCAACGCAATAGGCGCTCTTTTGGGCTACAATTCAAAGCGTTAAAAAAGCAAGACAAACCTGTTTACGCTGTTAACATCTGGAGAAAAAACTTAAATGTCTCCCTTCACTATAAACCTCTTTATTCTTAATTTCGTACTCAAAGTGCGAGTTCCTACTATTTGTTGAATTTAGCACGTATTAGCTACTAAACGGACCTCCAAGGTGTCCTTTAATGTTCGATGTACCTTAGCATGCACAACCCTATACTCAAATATCACCTAATATGAAGCACGCACAGGTAGGTCAATTACATATGAAATACTTTTAAATATATATATATATATTCATCTCAAGATACTTTCACCAAGCACATGTGCAGTTTATCTATGACGTAATACATGCCATGAACTTCTTATTTGCTAAGCTAAAAGAGGCAAAAATATGTATCAAATTTTACAATGAACAACAATCTATACTTTAACCATTTGTTTTCCTAGCTGACCACAAGAACACTTAACGGAGCACTCCTAATCTAAATTAATTCATGCACCCACGCATTATAGGTATCAGTCACTCAAATACCACGAAATCATGTTTATTTAACTAAAGGTCATGGTTTGTTGTTTTGGTCCTTTTCAAAATTCCCCGAATTAAACTTATTAGTAAAAAAAACTATGTTTAAGATATGACGTTTTTTCATGTTAACTGCTGGCCGATGATTTTTTCTTAAAGATTCGTCGGTACACAAATTGTGGCCTACTGATAAAGCACTTCAATTCTATTTGTTAGAAACTCAAGCTATTTTTATTTCTTCGCTCCTTTCAATTTCCATCCAGGAAGGGACCTGTGTGCTCTCTTGCTGTTAATTTACTTTATACAACGAGATTGCTGGCCAAATACACTGAATTATGTAACTTTATTGAGAGCTTAAAGGGGTCCGGATTCTGGGTCTGATGAAGGTTGTTGATCTCAGTCCGACTGGCACAGCCGCGATCGGCCGGTTCAGTAAATATGTAACGAAGTAACGATCTGTATCTGTCCAATACTAAAAAGTACGCATCTCAATTTCCGATGCTTAACGATTCTGTTCGGTACATGGTAAACAAGAGACGGCGATACAATTTCAAGGTAAATAAAAAACAGTGGACTCATAATTCCTAAAAATGCAGTCTCCATTGTTGTCTCTCGAGCCAAAGCAGATAGCCATAACAATTCTCCACGTGTATCCGCCCTCTTAACACACATTGGTTAGAGGACAACTTTATAAAGCCGAAAGGCCCAGGTGTTTTTTTTAGGTTTGTTGTCTTGGTTTTCAACGCACACGTTCAGTCAATTACTATACGGAATTTATTTTACCTTCTAAAAATAGCAACAGTTCCTTAGCGTGATCGGTAAGCTCTACAGGTGAGACTGTCCACAAAGTGCACGTTAGCATCTTCGTAAAGGTACGGGGCTAGTTTGGTTGATCTCGGCGACCAAGACTTGGGATGCTGCCTCGTTGCTCCCCTAAAACAAAAGTAACACATTTTCGCTTTTGTGTTCAACGAGCACAATGCCGGGCATCATTGTTACCAAACCCGAAATACCAGAAGTAGGCCTATACTCTCTAAATTCCAAAGAGTGAAATGAGGGACTAGACGTTTTAGAGTGAAAATCAATCTCATTTTCGATTGAAATAGTCTGAAAAAAAGAACCACTCCAGTCGAAGCTCGAGTGAAAGCTCGATTTTTTTCCCTCCAAAACGTCTAGTCCCTACTTTCCGACTGTGGGATTGAATCTTCACTCGAATGGAGTGAATTTTCACTCTTTGGATTTTGAAGAGTAGGAACTGTTGTATAACAGCTATATTTTATGCGACAGTCGGTTTATTCAATTAGAAGTATATTCTTAATTAGTGTCCGATGACAAGGCCATCGTTAGCATACCTTTGTTTTTGTATATACCGGAAAATGCGTGGGCCCCGTCTGTTAGGTATACGGTTCTTTAAGTAACGTAATTATACTGAGCTTGGAAGCGCCCCCCTTCCATCCGTTCACGAGCTATGCTCCTTGAAAATCGAGACATATAACACGATGCGAAGCTCCTTAAGTTCAACACTCAATATATCCAAAATCATCGTGGAATAAGATCCCATGAGTAAATTTATTTGAAATTGGAAAGATTGCGTTACAACAGGAAACGAGCACTTTAATAAGCAAATGATGAGTTTGCAGGTTCTTGCGGTTTGATGAATACCACTCGTGTTTTAGGTCTGGAAAAGAATATCACACAACTGAACAGTTCATCGCACTTGCAAAAATAAGACATACACTGGCGTAAGTAAACAAGGATAAGGGTAACTTGAGATTTTTGTTCGTGCCCCCATAGATGCAGATGTAGTCCGTATGATCCACAAAAAGGCTTGCTGAACATTTTACTTGTAGGACTTGATCAAGCGTCTCGTGCATAAAACCGCAAGCATTTGGTTTAAAAGGTCGCGCACATATTCGTACATTGGTATGCCTGTTAGTGTCAACAAACTCATGAAAAGGATACGGCTCCTGCTAAACCTTTGTCATTTGTTTCATGAGCAAAATAAGTCTGTTTTGTAAATGTATTCGGTATTATCTTGGTATTAGGATATAGTATGGGCATATTCGGTAATCGTCGGGCTTCGAAAAAAACTTATACCAACATATTTTCATGTAAACTAAGTACCAAAATTGTCAATCACTACTTACAAACCTTATACCAATCAATTGTTACAGTTTACCTGTTAAAGTTAACCTGTCAAAGTTTACCTGTAACCGGTTAACCTGTTACCAATAAACATATTCATCTGTCATCGGTCGACGGGTAATTTTTACTATAGTTACTAACCAAACAGATAAACCTCCTAGCTCATATTTCCGTTAGCTTAAGCAGCGGTGAAGAGGGAAGAAGACACAACCCCAGCGCCAAGTTACCGTTTATTGTGAAATGCGCCATATTAAATGTGCACATCAAAAATTATACATCGGCATTAATTGAAATTGCATCAGCACAAAGAACTGACGACAACTGCCTATAGACAGTATGTTCATTTTAGTCGCATGCACGCTTTCCTGACATCTTTCCAGACTGTTCCAAATTGTATACATTATCTATCCGATAACTGATCATTTATCTATAAATACATGTGTATACAAAAGCAACATTTGGTTTGTCGGTAGCATGACATACATGTATTGTCGATCAGTGGTAATGATATAAGAGTAATGCATAAAAAAGTGTTGCAAACCACGTACGAGGGGCCTATATATTACACGCACTTGAAATAGTGTACTCCAGGTCACTTTGCCCCTTACACTAGCGCACAATTTTCATAAGCGTGCCGTCTATCTTATATAAACAATTGTCCGGATCCCCTGTAATGCTTTCCTTTCTCTGTCTTGGGGATACCGTGCCCCTGGAGATGTCATGCTCACTTCCGCGGAAACCGTCCGTTTAAAAAGACTGATGTGGGTCAGTTGATATTTTGCCTGCGGAGAGCGGCGAAGGGGAAGGAACGACGCGAGGACTGTGTAACTTTCTGCGAAGATGCCTTCAGGGTATCGAGTGACAAGCACAACAGAAACCATAAGTGCTTCAAGAAGATAATCCGAGACTCTTGCGCCGTTCAAGTTTGTTTACCAGCATTTTAAGTTTTATTCTTATACAGGCCTAAAACCTGGGTATGTATTTGTTATCAGTCCAAATAAATTCAGCTTGATTTCGAAGCGAATGAAAGTCCCATCAGTATAATGTTATTGCTAATTCGCGGATGTTGTTGCTACAGCCTGACACGTAGATTACACCCGTCCCAGCTGATACTGTTTAGCTCAAGTTCAGACGTTGATCGATCATAAAAATTAATCATATTAAAAAGATATACATAACTATTAATTTAAAACAACATTATCGGCCTAGAGTCAATAACGTCCATACAACAATAATTTAAAATAAGGCGATATTTTAATGATATTACCAACACACATGTTGAGATGAAAGAGTGGGTTTAACGTCTTATCGGATGATACAATGCAACGCAGGTGGATGAAGTAAATACTCCCACAACATCGGATTCCTTTTATTCTTAAGAATTACTCAGATATTGTTACAAGCCATTAGGCCGATATAAACTTCCAGCCTCCGTCAGCGTATTAAGCCTAGGGGTCTCAATTATATATAACTTGACAATACCAAAATAACAAATGCGTAGGCATACGTACAATTTTAAGACCTGTTTTCTTTTAAGGGTGATTTTGTTAGGTATAGTTTCAACCAAACACTCCGACAGAGGGTATCGTTCTCTGCCCTCGTTCTTAGTTTTCACCGCAACTGCTCGATTTTTACCAAATGATGCAACATAAAGATCCCGATTTAGACTTCAGATGAAACTTTCGGGCTTCACGAAGTAGCGTCAACACTCTCCTTACTCTGCGGAATAGAGTTCTCAGATTTTGTGGATATTAATAGCAACGCCTTATTGTCTCTGTTGAGTCGCTTTGTACAGGTCTATTTTTGCAGGAATTCCTATTTTTTTTAATTGTAATTCAATCCGGGGTATGGGTTTGTTGAGATAGCCTGCTGCCGGTTAGGAGTATGAAGTCCAGTATTGTTATGAAGTTGCTGTACGCGAGAGAAATCTTTCTCAAAAGGCAGTTAAGGCGACAACCTCCAAAAACTCTCAAAATATTTCCAGTATGCCTTAATATCGGTCGAACATCATGTTCCACGCTGGTATATGCAGCGTGGTTGAGTAGCAGTTTTACCCATTCCCCGCCTAAAAAGAGGACCTGTTTTGCAGTTCAACCGACTAATTAATTGACTCACCTCTACGCGATAAAGAAGACATTGATAAAGCAGTGACTAGTTCTTTTGTCTACGTTTTCTTTCCTCGGGTCAGCCAATAGTGGCAGATTACATCTCAAGTCTCATGTAAACATACAAACTAAAGGTATATTACCTTTAGTCGCCTTCAAGTTCTACGATGGTAATGATATGCTAGCCTTAATCAAGCCACAATAACAAGGCAGAAGGCAATTAATATACTTCATTACAGTTAAATTTTATGCGCAAAAGAATCATCGGCATTGGCGCGCGAGCGGAAATTGTATTTTTTACCGAGAAAACTCCCAAATTATTTTCTCATTCCTTTAACGAGAATATTGGCTGTATGTACGCGGTTATTTTCAAATGTATTATATTTCCAGCATTCTTTAGTAAATTAGTACAATGTTACTAATATGTTTTCTTGCAGCACTGAAAAGCTAACAATTTCGTCAAAATTGTTTTGAAAGTGAAATGGGAGCAACTTGGAAAGGTAAATGATACTTTCTACGAGATGTTTGGATTTAGATCGATGTGCCTGGCACCTCGGAAAAGAAGATCTTGTTCTAGTTTGCGGATATGCATAGTCACTCCCCGAGATGACTAAGTGTGTTTCGTCCTTACTATTTAGCCTATCAACAGGAACCGTCACCGTAGCGACAGGAAATTCAAGTAGACAAAGTGGTAGGAAACCGTCTTTTCCAATTACTCGTTCCCTTTTTTCGCCATCAAGAATCCATTTAGTGCCTAATAGCAAACACGTCCCTTTCTGGTACGACTGCGAAGATGCGATGCAATTATAAGAGCTATGACATCATGCAGGGAGACGAATCTCTCATGTAGTGTCGGAATCGTAAGTCTCGAAAGAAATTCACGAATTATTAGTTACTTTCCGCCTCTTGCTTTTATTGTATTCGTGAATATTCATTTTCCTTTCTCATTTGAATACAGTTTGGTATGTCTAAATTTACCCTATTTTTTCTCTTCAAAATATTTTGATAGGTGTGACTCTGAGTCTTGTTTGAGAGGCTTCATATTTTTCTTTTAATGTTTCGATCACATAAAATAGCTTTATTAACTCCCCGTTCTATTCTCCATCGCTTTTGCTCTATTTTACACTTTTTTGTTTTGGTCAATTTGGTTGTAGGCCTACTGAACTGAATTCGCGGCATAGTCGGATTTAAATTCAGTATTTATACAATGGTAATCCTTCCAACAAAAGTCCTCGATCGGTGACCTCACCGGCAAAGGCTAAAATACGATAGATTTCCTACTTGAACCCTTTTCTTACATTCGGTTTGGTCTTTCATTCTCATGCCACTGTTTAAATTTTTTTTTAAATATAGTCGAGATGGATAACAATACCCACTTGGTATATAAGCTATGAATCAAATTCCGACATTACAAAGATAAATATCTTATTCATTGAATACAAGCCAATTTCTTAATGGTTTTTATGTATTTTTTTTATCCATTTTCATTTATTATATATTTCCTGATTTACCATAGGTTATAGACTGCCAAAGGTCTTCGTTGGTTGACGTCACCTTTTCATACATTGCTCTTATCTATATTCATCATAAGTCCCCGCATAACACAGATCAACCTGGATACATGTATATACATTTACCCAAAAGGATTCTTTGCATCGAAACAGAATGCGCCATAATCCTCCGTAAATCACGAATGGTTAAGTAATCCACAAGCGACTACTATCGGTTTCGCTTTCTGTTTCCTTTGCATCTGTCCCTAAACGTTTTGATTACACGAACTATGCAGACGACACGCAAATAATTATACACTATCCTTCATCAAAATGCGGAGTCAGTTAAAGCCAATCTTGAAGCCTGCTTACAGGATATCAAAACATGGTCCACGGTAAATGGGTTAAAACGTAACGATGCAAAGACAGAGCTTCTTCACATATCATCACGGTTTAGGAAAAAAAGTCTACTCCAACCCATCAGCTTAGGCTAGATTTCATATCTTTACAAGCAACAAAGTCAGCAAGAAACCTGGGAGTAAACATGGACGACAATCTCACAATGACAAATCACATCAACAAAATCTGCCGTGCGTCTTCTTTCGGTCTTAATAAGATTGGATAGATAAGACGTTTCCTGAATCAACACTCAACAGAAACATTAATTCACGCCGTTGTATCGAGCCAATAGCCTCTTGTATCTATTACCAGCATCACAACCACACGAACTCCAACGCATACAGCTCTGCAGCCAGGCTCATAACCAGAACGCCAAAATACGAACCTATTACCCAAGTTTATAACAATTGCATTGGTTACCAGTGTAGTCCAGATTCCAGAATCATTTTCAAACTTTTAGTTCTCACCTATAATTGCATCAATGGACTGGCCCCAGATTATCTCCATGAATTAATAACTGAATACCGCCCCTCACAAAATCTTCGCTCCAGCTCACAACATCATCTAACGCACACTGAGTTCACACCAAATAGCCGTGATGGCCAACGGACGTTTCATTATGCATCTCCAGAAGAAAGGAATACATTACCTCACCAAATAAAGATCAGCCCATCCTTGGAAAACTTCAAATCACAACTTTAAAAAGGCACACTTGTTTAATGCTTTCAGAAGCGCTTAGGTACACTTCTTGTGTATATTGCGCTATACATGCACAAGAATACTACTAAATGTACCATTAAGGAGACACGGTATCGTAATTTCTTCGAACGGTGGGAGACATCGGTCATGTCTCCCTACTGTCAGAGCCCCCCTTTAGAGGCGCAATTAGGTTATATTTGTTGCTCGTTGTCTAATTAGTAAACATACCAAAATTCGTGGGGGGAAAAGGGACAAGGGAATATTGGGCTAGGACACATTATGTTTGAAAAATTTTGTGCACAAGTCTATGGGGATGTCTCCCAAATGTCCAATCCAGGGTTATTATTATTATTATTATTTTTACGAACTTGCAGGGACGACACGCAAGAATTCCAACCACTGGAAAGATAATTGTTTTTAAAACCTGCCCAATCATCTCACATGGAGACGCGCTCTCCACCCGTCTGAAGTGTAACTATAAGCGATAAGGCGCTGAGTTTGATTGTAATCTCCAAATAGAAAGAAGCAAAGGAAAACAATCTCACGCTGCACAAACACTCAGAACACAAGTAACCACGTCATGCAATGTTAGGCGGCCGGTGTGTACATAAAAGGAAAAAAGGAAGGGGTATCTATGCACACACTCAATACTTCCCATACTCGTTGAGTACTTGAAATGCGCAAACCCCCGCACTTGAACCCAGAATGAAGGATTACACACGTGACTTCCTTCCAACGCCTCCTCCTACTCACACACCATTCAAGCACAGTGATTTGTCTCCTTTAAATTCACTGTTTCGAATTGTACAGTACGAGTGTCATGATCTCTTGTGCGCGCCTGCAATGGTAGCGTAGGTATAAAAGCTACGTCAACTTCAGATTGTGCCTGCACACTCCGGAAATTTCTGGTAGTGTGATTGGTTGTCATCTCGGTGCGCTACAGCTGAGTAGACTGTGTCCATTGGCCAGGGGAAGATCTCAAGCCGTCGTGTATTGAAATCCAGTTGTGCAGCCGACAGGTGAAAATAAGCGAGCCACTGGATGCCATCATGCATTCACTCCGAGTCACCAGAGTACCCTTGTCCTTGCAAGTTTCGGCATTTCTGGCCCTGAGTTTTGCGGGTGAGTTAACATGTTTCCGCTTCCGGTTATTGAATGTTCTCATCATTAATCATGACTTTTTTTAAACATTAACAACAAAACCTGCCCGAATGGAACAGAAACATAATATTTGCATGCAGTCCCAATCCTACAAAGTTTTGGTACACATCAACGTTTAACGGTCCGAGTTATTATAGGCATGGGCTCAGGGCCCAATTTCATAGCTCTGATTACCGTTAACGAAAAAAATCTCCGCTTGCTGTACAAGAAATTTCGTGCTTACGGTAAGCGTATTTCACGGGTTACCGAAGAATGTTGGCTTCCGCACACGCGTACATCCCATAACTAAGGATTTTGTGTTTACAGGGTAAGCTCAGAATTGTTTTGCTAGCGCTGTGAGCACAAGTTGGTGATAAGCACGAAATGGTGTAGTTTTGGCCCGTAATGGTTCAAAATGATCTATATATCTATTGATGGTATTACGTGACACCCAGACCATGGGCGTCGCGGGGGGGGGCAAGGGGGCACTTCCCCCCCCCCTCCCCCCCCCCCCCTGGAAAAGCCACACACACACACACACACACACACACACACACAAAGGAAGGGGAAAAAAGGGAAAACAGAAGAAAAAAAAAAGGCGCAAAGTCATAGTGGTGTAAATTTAATTGGTTGGGGGACAAAATGTCCCTTCCCCCCTCTAAAACTGATAAATCGAGAATGTGTTGAGAAATACAGGCATTTTTTGGCAAACAAATGTTTTGCCCCCTCTAGAAAAATCCTGGCGACGCCCATGGCCCAGGCCACCTCCGTGTATGGATTTGTCAAGATTTTTATTCAATCTGACACAAAGGCTTAGCTGAATCAAGCACACTCATTGGACAGATTTTTTGAAACAACATACTACATCGGTAAATGCTTTCTAGTGGGGAAATGATCTACAAGTCAAAGTTCTCTTTCCCGGCTGGATCCCCTCGGGATCCAGACGTCGCTTTGAAAACTCCTGCAGGATACCCGACTTACGGTTTGAAATTCCCACTCAAGCTTGCCGAACTGTACAAAGGATGCATTACCCTTAGGGAGGGATTTCGCCATTTACATTCGATAAGCCGCAATGTGAAGCCATATTCGGGTCGGCTAAATGCGGCAGATGTTTTTTTCTTTCATTATTCATTGAAATCTCAAGTACCTTGAAACTGAACTGGAGCTTGACCCCTTCAGAGAAAGATGAACTCTACATACGGCGATTATACCAACATTCTGTTGACACGAAACGAAGTGAATCTTTAAATGCATTGCTTCAAGCGCCGTGCGCGGACGGAAATTAATGCTGTAGAAGACTACATTGTATTTTCACAATTCGTACAAGTACAAGTGTGAGTAAAAAAAAAACCCCAAATGTCGGGACTATTGTTTTAGTGAAGTTCTGCATATAGCACTTTCCAAATACAGGATATGAAAGCCCAATTCATAAGCTTTTTTAGTACAAGAATCAGTCAAATCACTCATGTGCTTTTACGGAACACAACCACCGTTTTACAGTCTGTCCGCGGATCACAAAAAACGATTCAAACACATCCCTATGTAAATTTGTTTTCGTTTTGCTGAAAGAACACTTACCTTTTTTGTGATCCGTGGACAGTGGTGGTGTTTAAAATTCCGTAACTTGAAAATGACATGACTTATTTGAATAATTCTTGTACTAAAAAGAAAGCTGATGAATTGGGCTTTCATATCCTAGATTTTGAAAGTGCTACATGCAGAATTTCACTACAACAATGGTCCCGACATTTGGGTTTCGTTCTTTTTTACTCACCCGGTACACGCACGTTTGGGGGAAAATCCAAAATCGCCACCAAACAGTTCAGTGTTCCTGAAATTTTGTTGTGATTTGTTCACAACTTTTGCAGACGATGGTTTGGGTGTGGGTGTTTTCGTGAGTGGGTATAGCACTAAATGCATACTAAGCATGGGGATATTATTCACTGATTTAATACTGTTTTAATGGTTTGCGGCAACTAGAAAAGCCTGTAAGGAACCGCAATTGAGCAACTCCCCCTCACCTTTGCACAAACAACTTTTGCCAGGTGAAAGGGGGGGGGTAAGAGTCACTTAAGCCTATCTTGATATGTATCAGAAGGAACTTCTGTTTTTTGCCCCATGGCATATGTTGGCATTAGTTTGAATGTCTACAAACATTTCAAAGGCAATCTCAACACCACAACTCTCACCTGTTTTCCTTGTCTTGCATTACTCAGAGCACGAGGCGCAGCCGAAGGCATTGATAGAAGGCCCCACCGTGGGCTTGTATTGCACCCGCACAACGACGCGGTAAAAACATGCCCGTATATGCAGGGGCGGCCCCGGGGGTTCGAGGGTTCAAAAGACACCCCATGCACGCTGATGATTCCGATTTCCAGAGGCGGGATGAGGTCTAGTTGACATCCCCCCCCCCCCACCCCACCCCGACCCTTTATTTTCGCCAAAAGTTCGCCAACCGTAAGTTCACTGAACCACGGTCAATCGCCTCCCAACAAGTAGGAAAACTCACTTAGTATCTTTTAAAGAATCAAATTTACCATCTTTATCAAAGCCTGATGTTTATCATTTGCAACACTTGAGGGTGTCTGATTGTTCTGTTTGGATATTTCTTCTAAATCCAGGACGGGTTACAAGCATATCTTGTATTTTCATGAACAGCTTCTCAACAACAAGGCTGCTATCTGCACTGAGCTCAGCGAGAAGCACTTGCTCTTCACGTTGTTCTACAGAATGTACGAAGACTTTAATTCTTGTTCCCTAATCCTGCATTTCCACCTGTTCTTCACAATTCGCTGCCTCATCTCATCCGTGTGAGCACCATGCGCGAACAGGGAGGGCGCTTTTTGACCACTTTGAGAGCCCAGTGGACGGGACGGGGCGCGTGCGCGTACTGATCGCACACGTATCCAGTTGGCTACTTCGTCATACACGCGCACGCATCACTAATTACAAGCACCCATTGGCTAAAACCTCAAGTTGCAATAACTTCCGGTTCCAACGGTGCTGTGCTATACACCGTGTGAACTACGCATGATTCAGTTGAGATTACGTCACACTCACACTAACGAGCCGGACGGTCCTACTAAAATGCGTCAACAAGCATCAACGGTCGTCAACAAGCATCAACAACAAATTTAATTTCGTATAAGTTTTGGAACATCAAAATACGTTTTTTATGGTAGAAGTAGTGACAAAGGACACATTCAGCATATAAAATATAGTTTAAATTATTTAGAAACTTGTTTTTTTGAACGCAAAATGTACGACGAGTTTGTCGATATCATTTGCATATCATTTGCAAGCATCAGGAGGGATGCCTCCTGATGTACGCAAGATTCAGCCCTAGCTACCTGTCCCCATACTTGAAGTCCAAATAACAATGGGGACGGGGTACCAGACTACCCCAACTCGCCCTTTCTAATATACCGTTGAGGGGGTACTTGTGTATGGAGCCCATATACCATAGACATCTTAAAGATGTCTTTGCCATAGGCGAATCCGGGCACGTGACCACTGTCTTGGATATCTGCGAGTAGTATGTATTTCGCTTTATCCAAAAATGATAGCTTTTGAGTTAGAATATCAGTCAGTGATCGAAAAAAAGGTAGATAAACTCTTCTCCTTTTTGAGTATAAACATGTTCAGTTACATGACAAACATGCTCTTTCTGTCATTTATAACTCTCTTCCTGTGTTCAGTATATAGCATTGCAAAGCCTAAAGCAAAAGATATCATTTTTAACCTTTCCATATTCCCAAACACAAAACAGCATGAATGAAATTTGAGTCCCTTTACAAAAAGTGTTCCATATAATACGACATTAATCGCCCCCGTTATACCCACCTATATCTCACGGTTAAAAAAACGAACAAATGTCAAAAACATTAACTTGTTGTATAAAGGTTTGAAATAATATTAAGACAAGTGCCTCGGGTGCATTTACCTTTTCCTGTTTTCAACGTCAAATACTACGCACGATTTTGCCCGTTCGGCAGTATGGTCCCGCGGGACCAATCTAGTGTCCTCTTTTACTTGTCTCCCTGACTGACTCCCCGACTCCCCGACTGCCTCCCCGACTGACTGACTCACTGACCGACTGACGGACAGACTGACCGCCTCCCCGACTGACCGCCGCTGTGACCGACTGCCCGACTGACCAACTGACTGACTGACTAACCTTGATTACAATTACAATTATGATTACTCCGTAACACCAATAATTTGGCCCATCGTGTAGACCAGGTGCAAGAAAAGACCTCCATTGAATAGCCATTCTGAAACAAATGAATAGAGTTTTTCGCTCTGATTTTAACTGGTTTGGAACCAGCTTTACTGCATGGGCCTTCCTAGTCTGGTTTAACGTTTCTTTGATGAGGCATACTTTTTCAGGTTGTAATTCGTGCCGTGGACGCTTTTCATTTGATGAGGCATACTTTTTTCAGGTTGTACTTCGTGCCGTGGACGCTTTTCATCAGAAAAGGGTCTATATTTTGGCTGAAATGGGATGCTTACTCGGACACGTGATTACGGAGAAGAATTTAATATTATTTTCAATGCCCGCCATGACGGCGTTGACTTTAGGTTTTTCTAAGTTTAACTTGGATTAAGTCATTCAGGCAAACTAATTTACCACAGGATAAACATATTTCATCACGTTTGTTTGTTTCGGGCTCGTTATAATTACCTTTTCCGAGAGACCATTCAGAAGCACCTGTCGCTCCCGTATCCCTTACCTTCTTAATGATAATGAATACAGAGAATACAAAGTTGATAGCAAATTTTAGGTTCATTACACAAACATGAACCAAATATAATATGTGGGTGGTGTTCCTTTGAGACTGGCTGCCCTTTTATTAGCGGATATATTCATTAGACTGAAGATCCTTTTCCGATGCAATGGCTAGAAATATACCGACACAAAGGTTCACATACAAGTACAGAGGAGAAGCTGAATATACGATACCGCAAAGTAAATTTTCCCGTTCAGTTCAAGTATCGCTACTCGGCCCGGCTTCAGGTTACGTACACTGTACACAGGGATATCCCTCCTTTGTAGTTACATAGAACGCATGTACGCGACTTGAGTCAAGGGAAAACAGCTTAAACGAGTTTCCCCAAAGGCCACCGTCGTAAAAGGCTTTCAATTTTCAGAAGAAAAGATGGCGATCGGATTCATACTGATTGAATGACGCCTGCGTAAAAAGAACAGTGTAATACTGCGATCCCTTTGAACTTAAAGAAAGTTGTTTGTTCTGTGTAGAATCAATGAAAAATGATATGGGAACAGCTCATTTAATACTAGCAAGTGCCGAACAAATTTCAGTGGCATTACCGGGGCACGGACAGTAGCGTATCCAGCTTTTGATGTCGGGGGGGGGGGGGCAACCGCACATCCACGCCGAAATGATGACATGGTTTTTTTTCTGGACGATTGGCCTCCGTAAAATCAAGGGGGGGGGGGGGGGCTTGTACCCATCTTCCAAACGGGGGCGCTCTTCTAAACTGACCATTATCATGTATACTGCAAATATTATATGCCCATCTTCTCGGCGCATTGTAATGGCTTTTGAGAAGGTTTTCTTTTTTAGGATTTGGGATTGATGTCAGAACTCTCTAACCATTTATTGAATTTATTGCTGACCAAAAAAATTGTCACAAAAATCCGCCGCGGGGGGCGGCCCCCCCCCCCCCCGCCCCCTCTGGATACGCCACTGGGCACGAGGCGAGGGATAGGGGGAACGTGCCCCCCAACGGATGCCCCCCCCTCCCCCACCCCCCCCCCCCCCAGTAATTTGGAAATGCCAATTTTGGTTTTTAACAAATATGCATACTGCTCTGCTAACGAAAACAGGTAAATGCACGTGCAGACACCCAAAACATGTTTTCCCGTTCTTAAAAATCTTGGCAGTGCGAGTCATCACGAGTCAATATTCCCTGTCATACAGAGGTAACGGGTACTCACTGATTCCGCACCAAGCACCCTCCACCGCTAGCTCTCGTCAATACATCGCACTCCGTGGCTGCCCTGTATACGTGAGGAGATTCAGTCGAGGGGGTTTCCCGTCGAGAGCCGTTGGCTACAAGCGTTTGAATGGGCAGTCGATTAGCATTCCTCACCACACTTGTTATCGAAGCTGGATAGAGAAAAAGGAAGTGGAAAGATATTATTGTTTCCTGAGTGTAATGGCTACGAGAGCTTTAATTATTGTCACTGCATTTCACAACCGGCTCTTGATATGGCTTGAGGAGGCGTGGGTTTGCGTCTTAAGACGTTCATACAAATAAGACCCATTGTTGTTTTTCTGAACATTTGACGCACGCAAAGAATATTTTACTCCTCCACAGATCGTTGACAAGTAATTTCGACTCTCATATTGTTTTTCCCAACAGTTTTGGTTGGGGCCAGATATACGCCTTCTAAGTTTTACAATGAGATGCCAGAATATAACGAAATGGTAAGATCTTCTGTTTATATCTTAATGCTTAGCAAAATCGGAAATGATTGGTACAACTGAATTAATGGCCTTCAAAAATATTCATAAATAGTTCTACCTAAGACAGTTTACCCATTCCTATTGGTCGAGAGCTCGTCACGTGGCCGGTTGTAAACGGTTGATGAAGACCTGCTGGCTGGTCTAAAACACTTTTCCAGTGTCATTAAATTTTAACTCCTATGAAATCCGGTGTTTTTTATTAGTTGAACGTTTACAATGCTAACGTAGGCAAGCGCAATACTACCCTTGAGTCAGTATTTCATAGTCCTAAATTCACACTACACCGGCACAAATTGTAATTGTTTTGATAATTGCTAGGTATTTTTAAAAGTTTCTATAATTTGGGTCCAGATCATTCTTACTTGGCCTGTAGGGCAAGAAGGCATGTAAATTGCTCTATGAGTTTTACATCAGAATTAAAAACCTGTTTTACTTCATTGAAAACAATGTTTTGCTTCACATTTTTATAGCCACAACCAAATACGGATGTGGATTCCGTTCAGCAATTTCTGGACATACTACGGATACCATCGAAACTGCGGCCCCTCTCGCACGATTTCCCGACAATGAACGACTTTATGGAGATGCCTTCAATGGAAGGTGCGGATGCTCAACGGGTCGCGTTTTCCGAGAGCAAACCAGACTACACACCTGCCATAGAGATACCGCTGACGGCGCGGGACAGACGGTCACTTCCCTACCCTTTTTACAAGGTAATTGATGTGGCAACATCATGCCAGATCTTATCACGTTAAAGGGCTCATGTAGTGTATTTGTTTTAATGCAATCCTTGAACATTTACCTTTGTGGCCCATTTAACCATATTTTCCAGTATTACTTTTTCAGGGGTATGCTGGTGCCTTTATGGTTTTGAGAATTTCCATATTCAGCGAGCAAAAGTGTGATGTCATTTCAGGCAGAAATCTCAATGTTACAGCTATTTAAGTAAGATTTGAGGCTTTGCATGGTGGAGAAACTAATGAATTAAAGGTTTGCGGAAACACCATATGGGGATAATTTCTCAAACTAAGAGAATGGTTCTGACATTTCTACAGCTATTTAAGCACCAAAATCTGCAAGAATTTTGGATATGTTGCTGTCGTAAATTTTCTTTTCTTTGGTCATTTGTTGTTGTTTCAGTAGATGAAAGTAGGCAACTGAGGAAAGTTTTCTGACAACTGTTTGCAATGAGCACATTGTGGGTTCACAATTTAAACAGAAAACCCCTAAACTGAACAGTGTCTTCCTGAAATGACATCATAGCAACAACACCCTCATTTGTCAATTAGAAAAGCGTGGAAAACTTTTAATGTTTAAAGAAGTGAGTTTTCATACATAAAGAGGAGTAGAAATTTGCACAATTATGTTTCCAAGTTAAATTCATGTCATGGGCACTGAACACGCAGCCTTTTTCCATACCACATGAACAGTTGAGCAGTAGGTCTTTCATTGTTCTCTCATACCGTGCAAGATTTACTGTAAAAACTACAATGTTGTATCAACATCGCTTAAGATGTAGGTGACTTCACTAATGTTATATTAAAACTCTAGTTTTGGTAGCACATTGGATAAAAGTAAAGCTTAAGATGTAAGTGACTTCACTAACGTTATATTAAAACTCTAGTTTGTGTAGTGCATTGGATAAAAAACACTTCTTAAACTTTGAATAATAGTAGTTTATTATGTCTTGACATGGAGTATACAAGTCATGTATCACTGCAAGGCAGCTGATAGGCCTAAACTCTCCCATATGCATGTCAGTCCATGCATGATTTGAACGGTCGTGAAATTAATCGATAGATATTTTCATTTCACCTTAAACTAAAAATAATGGCAAAAGGTAAAGACACCTTACAAAAACAAACTGATAAGCAAGAGCATCCCAAGCAATTTTCACTACTGAATTTTTTTTCCCGACAGAGATCAGTGGTTAACTCTGAGGAGACTGTCAGAGCTTGTGAAGCACAGAGCGACTGGGAGCAGATCACACGAGCGACCGCTTTGGAAAACGAAGATGTTATCTTGGGAACCCGGCAGTGGTTCTGGCAGACGACCTGTTCGGACGAGGAAGCTAAATGCTACGGTTTCAAGGAAACGCCGCACATGACGTCAAGCTGTCGACCCGTCTTCTCCTGGGTAGTGGCGTGGGCACGGCCGGCGTCCGTCATGAACTACACGTGGCGTTTTATTGCACTGAAAACATGCTGCTCGTGCGCCGTGATCAAGACGTCATCGAATCTCCAGTAATTTCACAGTTTCTACCACAGAATAGAATCGCACCTGAAACTGTTACAGATACAAGTCGCCTGGAAGAATTAAAGTGACCAACTGCAAGATGTTACAATACTTCTGCTTAGATTCCACACATAGACAGACTTCACAGACTGATTCAGCACCAAACCTCACAACGGAGATCCGGAGAGAATTGACAATATACAAGTTCATGTATCTATATCCGTTGCGGTTCGGGTATTTTATCGCTTTCGACTTTTAAACTTTTTTCAAGCAAATGTTCCTGTTTAAATGAAGCAATTTCAGAATATCTGAGTTACAGGACACTGGCTGAATATTAATGGGGTATTTGGGGGGGGGGGTTGTGTGTGTTCTGTGTTTGTTAATTGGTATTGTTTGATTGCTTTTCGTGTGATTTTTCAATAAAGGTAAAAGGTAGAAGTTGGAATGTAAAAAAAAAAACAGAAACAAAATAGAAGGTAAAAAAAATCCAATACTGCAAAATTGTTTTGATCGACTGCACTAGACTTGGACTACTTTGCAGTGTTAAATGACGTGCAATGTAACGAGGCATCGACCACGTTGTGTAAGCAAATTTACCAAACGCGTTTGTCTGAGCATAGTCTGAGTATCACTCGTTATCCACGGAGCAATTCTCCTGTTTAACATCTGATATGTCTAGACATGCAGATATATGCAATCCACGCGCAAGCCAATCGGAGTCAACTTTACTAAATCAAGACGTCATTTCATTCCCAAATAAGGACTAAATGGTTTGATTGGTCAATTCGAATGCAGTGTTTTGTAATACAACAGCCGGGCGCATATATGCGCGTAACATGATACAGAGCGCGTGACACAGGGTTTTTTATCCATTGTCCATGACGCGCAACGGGTAAATGACCGAAGACCCGATATAGAAATCGCCAGCTGATTGGTCAAAATCTACAGGTCAAGAGGCGGTTGTCTTGCCTAATTAATCAGCGAATCTGCTCACATATCATTCACCGTGGTCTATTATATAGATTAGCCCATAAGCACTGTCATGCAGCTGAAATTTTGCCTCTGGTGGAGCGCTTCCAGGAACCTCGAATACGAAAATGGACGTGTGTAAGTTATAATGAAAAAATCATTTTCGAGTGGTCGAGTTCTAGAGAAGCACCCCAAGAAATCGTTTGTAAAATTTCAATCTGTTACTTAAATGAATCGATATGAAATGAGTGTTTATTGGGGATTGCTGTTAGAAAATCATCCTGTCTTAAATGGCAGACAGTAAAGGCAGCCATAATGTAAAATGTCGCATAGGCGCGGCGTCATCGGGTTCCTTTAGTTTGCCATGGTGAACGTTTAATTTTAGGCTCTATTGAGCCTTAAAGTAAAAGGGGAAGGAACGAGCTTTGCGCGGCCCTCCTATGGGCATTTTTCACTATGGTTGCCCTTTTTCTTACTGTAAATTTGGACAGAGTGATTTCTAAAAGTATTCACCCCAAGAAACATTCCTGTTGGAATTTAATCTTGGTATTCCTTAAGAAAACATTATGAAATCACTTGGGGATTGGTTAAAATTTTACTTAGGACATGTCATATATCCGGCATTTTCGTTCCTAGGTCTCCTTGTTCGTTCACGTTTGTTTTCACATCGCGTTCTCGCGTGAGAACGAAAATGTATGACACGAATATTTACCTACCTACAGCCGATGGGTTCCAGATTGAGTAAATCTTACTTGGGCCACTGTCACCAGGACATGCTGAATCTGGGTTAAGCGTTGAATAGGTGACATCACAGGTGAAAGTAAAATGTACACCCTTTCACTCACTTGATTGTATTGCTGGATCTAGGGACCCAAATGGAATGCTGTAAAAAGAAAAAGGGTGGGTTGTAAAAAAAAAAAAAATAGTCAGGCTTTAATGTAGTATATAATTTTATTGGGAAAAAAATCAACAGTTTTTATTATTTGTTTTCTGAATGTTGCACTTTTCTGGCAAATTCTGTATATCCTAAACAACATCTTAGTCTCCTATTTAACTTTCACCCAATGACCGCCACAAAATTATTTCATAAATTTTGATCTTTGTGCGAGTACACCACTAGTCCACATGTATTTTAGATTTTCGGAAATGAGAGGTAAACTTTTGGCAAGATACTTCTCTTTTACGTCAGGCAATTTTTCAGTCTCAATAAATTGAGATACTTGTTAAACATTTTACAAAGGTCTTTTTCGAAGGTGGTTTTCGTAAGAAGTCAATGTATCAAAAATATTGCACATTTTTTAACTTTGGCACGTTAATTTTCCTATTCAAGGGTTCCGGAAGCGCGCCACCAGGGGTGAACTTTCAGGCTCTATTGCACAAACGCTGGAGACAAAAAGACCTATCCACTTAGCTCCTCCCATTGAGCCCATCGGCAACACCTGATTGGTCAAACATATAACGGGCGTTGATTGATCAATCAGGAAGGGGTGTAAGTAAAACTTACACCAGAGCATTCGATTAGCCATCACGGCATACTCGTGTAGCCCCGGTGTCAACGCAGTGCCCCAGCTTTGGACAGCTAGATTGAAGATGGCGGGAACTGGAATTTGCACTGAGTACAATTGGGGGATTTGTGCCGCAAATATTCCCAGTTATTACCGGTGATCAATTTTGATCAAAATATGTTTGGTAATTCAGAGCATATCTTCCGATTCCAACAATTATTATTGATCTGGTTTCAGTGATACACCTTGTGCAGCAGAAAATATATTGCATGGCGTGTTTACATTTTAAAGTCACGCCCGAAACAACCTTCGACCTTAAGTTTCCCAGAATGCCAGGCCAATACACCGCAGCTTTGGTTAGCCTCATTTCGTGGCTTCCTCGAGTGTTTTAACCCCGTGTAAACCCCGTGTATACACGTGTAAGCTAATGGAACGCACCAAATGATCGATCTTTTGTTCGCGATTGAGCAGTTTGACAATTCCCTGTGACATCCAATTACGATTGTTACTGGCTTGTGTCATTGAAGGTGATTCAGGTATGGTGGAAATGATAAGGTGCAATTGGGAGCTGTAATAGTTCGGCAGATAGGTGATGGGATTGTTTGTTTGATGACAAAAGCATGGAATTTGGCACACAGCCAGTGTACGTCATGAGCAATATAATTATTTGGCTATAGGGCCATCGCAGATTTGTTCTTTTGAAAAAAATTAGGTAGAATAAAAAGCAATGACAGGGATTGGCAACCATTTTGAAAATTGCTTATTATTCTACGTTTATTTTGTTTAAAGCACAAGTCTGCGAAGACCCTATAGCCAAATAGCTTTCTTAAGACATACTCTGAATGTGTGCCAAATTCCATGCTTTTATCATCAAAGTAAACATCCCCCCCCAAAAAAAAAAAAATATGTCCCCTATCTGCCCCACTATAAGAAATGGCGACCGCTGCGCAATGGATGTGAAGATGGTAGTTGGTAGTGGAGTTCGTTTTCTGATGGTGAAGGCACAATGATGGTTGGGTTGCTGGGGGGGTTACAGTGGTGCTTTTAGCGATGATGGGGTGGGTGAGTGTGGTGTCGATGGTGATGATGGAGGGGGATGGGTGATTGTGTTGGTGATGGCGTGGCGCTGGAGGTGGCGGCGGTGGTTAGCGACGGTTTGAAATTACAAACCTGTACACAGTCATGTACTTTTTCTGCAACAAGTCAGGTCACTGACCATAATGTGCATGCGTCGATCGGGTGCTCACAGAATAATGTTATTTCCCTTTAAAGGGCAGGAATCAGAAAGGTAAAATGTATTGAAATGAAAAGTGGGGCTTAATTAGAAACAGTAAAGAAAATAATTCACGTTGTAGAAAACAACTTTTCAAATATGAGGTAGATGGGTTTCGAACCTGCGGCGTCATTTATTCATTTATGTAAAAAAAAAAACACCAGCATTAACCACAAGGTTTAATACGGTGAGGCTTCAATCTTGTCTCTAAATCAATCGACACTTTTCCAGACATCGAAAATTACGTTTATATTATTTTAATCATGTGATATGTTTCAAGCATGCGAATTACGGTAAATGACTATTGTTGGTTGCGTTTTGGTGATGGTGGGCGTTTTGATGTTTAAGGATGGATGGCAGTGGTTGGGGCGGCTAATCACTCCTCCGTCTGACCAATGTTCATTATTTACATATTTACTGGAAATAAATCTTTAAAATAACGTAACAAAATCACGAATATCTCGGTTCATTCCTTGTAAAAGCTTCGCCCCGCCCCTTTATTGGAATTTCCTAGACGTCAGCAGCGGATTACCACCTTTAAAAATAATCACATATCCGCCACGGTGAAGGGTTTCTTGAACGATAGGTGAGTGATATTAATGACGACGATGATGGTTTCACCGTGATAGATAAGTATAACGGTGGAAAATGTTGGTTACAATAAATTGAACATTTTGGTTTGACCCACGCAAACAACATATATTTTAATTAAGATTCCCTAAATAAAACAATGCTCGCATGTTTATATCATTTTTACAACACACGATGTGCAGTACCTTCAAAGTACACAAGAGTAAAATTATGCAACGTATTATTTTGCAATTTTTCTGGCTCATAGAGGATCCTGAATGGAGTTGCCCACCATAAACTACATATAACGCCTCGGATAAAAACCCAAAGGTACCGGATTGCCAAGCAACTAAACCAGGTACAAATATCAAGAGTGGCTGCTTTCAGTCTTCAGAATACAATTACTTAGTACATGTATTATTGGATGCTTCGGATCTACCTGTGAGATTTGGCTCATTTCCTGTATTACCTTTGTTAAAACTTCGTTTTCCTTTGGGCACTTACTCTCTCTCTCTCTCTTTTAAAATGCCTAAGCAAACAACTGTTGCTGGGGGAATGCCTTTCACAAAAGTACATTTCAAAGTTTGTAAGCAAGGTGTCTGCACCTTTATGCGGACTTGAGTCATATGAACACAGGGTGAGTTCAAAAGAAAGGGATCTGTATTAATGATTTTGTTTTTCTTAAAAAGCAACGAAATTTGATACGCCAATGGAGTACACGTATGTCTTAATATTCTTCCACATTCTTCTGAAAAACAGATTTACTGAAATTGATCCATGCTATCAAAAGAAATGCATGTTTTACTTCAAAAAAAAAATAAGCAATTTGTATAGCTGTTCATGGAGCTATTGAGCTGAGTGAGAAGTAGAGATCACACACGGACATTCAAATACAAATGAGGTTTTAATTATTTGAGTCAAGACTGAAACATTATTGTTACTCTCAGATTGTGTGTATTGAATATGAGGAACAAAGCGACTCTTCCCCACCCCCCCCCCCCCACCCGGAATATTTTTTTCTAATTTGGCAACTTTCCTGTTTACTCATTCTGTGTA